TCTCTCTCTCTCTCTCCGTCTCTGTCCCTCGTCGGAGTTTCAGGTTTCAGCTTAGGGTCAATGGCTCGGGATTCGGCTTCGGGTGTCGGGCTTAACGTTGGCTCCAAGACTGCCGCGCGACGCGTGGTGCCTCGCCGCCTGGCTGCGCTTCTTCTGATTCCCAGCGACGCCCACCTCGGATGCCCAGTGCTCAGAGGGCTCAGAGCTCCGAGTTTCCGACCGCTCGGAGGGTTCAAAAGCAGAAGCCTTGAAGATTCCTGGGAATCGCGCGCGCGAACGCGCGCCTGCGTGGTTTGCAACAGAGGAGACCGGATCTTCGAAGAGCAACAACATGCTGCAGGCCAGTGGGGTGTCAGGCCATCTTCAACAGCAGGGCTGTCGTAGTAGTACACTTGAATGAAGTGCCTGCCTGTTACAGCTCTCCTGCAACCCTTACGAAACTGTAATATAGCTGTTACTAATAAGCAAGATGATTCGTACTAGGTTGTGTTGACTGTTTTGCTGTTGAATAGTTTGGACATTATCAGTATCTTTATGTTGCTGTTACAAACAGCTAGAAGAAGCAGCAGGATGAGGTGCACTGCTAGCAGCAGCATCTTGTTCCTGCTGTCCTTTCGTCTAGGTTTCAGGCTCCCCATTTGGCGCGACCAGGACCTTGGACAGATGAAAGGAGCCCAGGTTGGTTGGGGGTTCTCGGGTTTAAGCTGAAGGGTTGAGGAGTCGAGGGTTAGGCTGCCAGGTTTATGGTCAAGGGCTTGAGGTTTAGGGTTGAAGCTTCAAGTTTCAGGTTCAGCGCTTCGGGAGACTTACTTACCACACCACCATGCAGCTACCAGGCTCCTACCACAGCCCGCCGACCCATGCGACCGAAGAGAGGCTTCGCGGCTTGCAGCTCTTGCGACTGTCGCTACAGCGCAGCTCAGCAAGCATCCTCGACTCAGATCGAAATCGTCAGTTAACAGCGCCAAACCCTAAAGTCCAAACACCAAACTCTAACCTGTCGGGTTTGTTATATAAAGTGCGATGAGTCTCTGAGTCCTGCAGAAGCTTCCGTCTCAGCTCTGTCGAGGGTCTAGGGCTTAAGGCTCGGAGCTCTAAAACCCCCAGCTCCCTGCTTCTCTGGGTGCCCTCGCAGAGAGCCACACAGAGCGCCAGCTCCTCGATTCCGATCGCTTTCAGTGCCTCGCCCACCTGCAAACTCTCGATACAGAGCATCTCGTAGCATGAACTTCTTTGCGAGAGCTAAGAGCCTAAGAGCTTTCCCTAAGTTGCACAGGGCTTCCTATGCGTATCAGAGGGGCATTATTTCACTCAGAGGCACGGGGGGCTCTCCATGTTCGGAGGCCCTCGTACGAGCGAGAAGTCTTAGAAGCGAAGGCGGAAGCCGAGCTTGCGCTCGACTGCAAGACCTTATGCGAGACAGGCTATGATGCACATGTTAAATCCAAGAATGAATAAGTCAGACTCCACAACTATGAATCATGCTGCTATTCTTCGTCTTGCCTTGTTGTTAGTCTTGCGATTATAATTACTATTGTTGTTTCTAATCATATTCATCTTCCTGTTCCTATTCTTATGATTAAAGGATACGGACTGGTCAGCCGAAGCTGCCTCAAGGTCTTTCTACTATACCCCTAGGCCCTAGTATCTGCGGCGGAAAATCCCTGCTACAATTGTTTGGAGTTGATAGCCTAGGTTTAAAGAGTTTAGGGTTTGGGGTTAACCCGGTAGACCCCGAAAAAACCCTAAACCCTAGGCCCTGGATGCGCCTTGAAAACCCTCATCACGGGGGCCCCGCATGCCCGGTATGGGCATTCAGGGAGAGAAGGCACCCACCTCTAGAAGCCTCAGATGCCTACTATGGGGAGCCCTGAGCAAGGCATCACTGCTGTTGAGAAGATGAACCCTGAACCCTAAGCCCTGCCCTAAGCCTCAAACCCTACCCTCAAAACTTTGGAGTCGAAATGCACCATCTAGCGTCAAAAGCATTCCCGGAACGGATACAACAAGAAACCCCGTAAGCCCGACCTTGAAGGAACCCTCAAAGGAACCACCCCAAACCGTCAAGCCCATGAGCTTGACATTCCAGGCACCCCTCTTCCATGATTCTGATCGCATGGTAGCTTCGGCATGTTTTCGGTCGCCTCTGGAAACTGCGTCCAATCCTGAGGTGGCTTGTGGATTTCGGCTTAGGGCTTCAGGATTTCGGGATTCGGGGTTTCGGATTTGAGGTTTTTGGGCTTTCAACTTTGCGGCACTGCCTAAGCTTAGGGCTTAGGGCTTCGCGCTTAGGGCTCATGGCAAGCACTCTGAGGGTTTTGGGAATGGAAACGGCGAGGGCAGGCAATGCACAGCCTCGAGCCACGATTTCAAGACAAGACCTGCGGCACTTTGCATCTAGAGAACCTCAAGGTTCAAAGCTCAGAGCAGTACCGTGTCATGGTGGAGCGACATCTGCTCGTGCCTTGGCGGGCTTCTGCAATCGTCCGGATAGACATTATCGGAGTTCTCGGAGCAACCCTGGATGTGTGCTCAATGTCATGAGCTCGGAGCTTCAGGGGTCAAGGAATTCACAAATTCGTCCAAGGAAAGGAAGACCACTGCATCTGTTCATTGTTGACAGGACGACATGCCAACCGCGACTGACCCTCTAGGAGTCAGAATGTAAATTCCGGGGGGCTGATATGACCCCTATTGCCAGGTATTTTGAGGCGTGCATGGAATCCGAGAGCAGATTGCTGGCATCAAAGTGAGGATTGCAGGCAGAGGCGGAGGCTGCATCCTGCAATGCGCTCCTGCTCTCTGAAACTGTGCGGCTTTGGATTTGCACAAGGCTTAGGTCACAGGGAGCCCCAAAAGAAGGCAGCTGGGACCCTGGGCGCATCCTCGGCGAGCTCGTAGAGGATGTTGGCAGAATCGCTCCTTGGGCGGCACAAATGCGACGGTGAAAGGTGAAAGGGAGCTATATGGGACGGGGCGGGAAACGCGTCTCTGGCTTTGAAGGACTTTAACGGGTGGAAGGCTTCATAAGGCTTGGGAAGCGTCTTTGTTGCAGGGGCTCCAGCGAAGGTTTAGGTTTAGGGCGCGTTTTTGGGGTGCAAGGTTGTTTAGGGCCGTGGGCTTTTGGGGTTTGGGGCCTAGGGTTCAGGGTTTAAGTTCTTCTGGTTTACGTTACGGAGTTTACGGTTGGGTACCACCAAAGCCATTCGACTGTTGCTGCAAGGTGAGATGTTGAACGGAAAGGCTTCGGCTGTGCATCTGCGAGGTGTCCATGACGATTCCTCTGACATAGGGCCCTGAGAAGACCAAGCCTGGAACTCTGCGAGAGAACTACACCAAACTAGATACTAGCTCTCACAGTTGTCATATCGTGTGGACTGCCCCCCTCAACCTTCGAATCGGCATCAGATCACCAGGACTCTACGTAGAACTTCCTTTAAGCTTCCAGTCTCAGGCTGCCGCATCACCTCCTGGATCTCGGGGTCATGGAGGACGACCGGTCCGCTGTCCGGAAAGCCCTGTGGGCTCGAAGAGTGGGAGTAGAAGCCACGATAATTAGACTAGGATTTTGCGGGGGGTTGAGGAGGGAACCCTCCAAAAATCCTGTGACGAAGTACTCAAGCTTCTGCATGAGGGATTTCGTGGGTTCCTTCTGTTTGTTGGGGTTTAACGGGGTTTGGATTCAAGGTTCAGGGTTTACGGCTTAAGGGTGTAAGGGCTTGCGGGCTTAAAGGCTCTCGGGTTTAAAGAGGCCGCAGCCGGGTCGCAGATCTAGAATAGGGTTTTTCGGGTTTAGGGCATTGGGTTTGATGGTTTAGCAGTTAGGTCCATACTGGTGCAGGGTTTCGCATTTCACTTTTCTTTAAGGTTTAAGGAAGTTTTAAGGCCTCTAGGTTCAACTCGGGGATTCGGAGCACACCTGCATCGGAAGGTTGGCGAATAGGCGCGGGTCTGTCGGGCCTTGAGCCTTTGAGACTTAGGATAGGTCTGGATGTAGGGCTCAAAGGTTAAGTCGTACCAGCCTGAATAAGCCTCTCTTCTCCAAAGTTGAACTCGGTTCTATGATTTCCTTCACAGAAGACAAGGAAGGAGCTAAAAACAGAGAGCCAACAACGGGAGGCAAACACACCGCAAGCTTCACAAAGCTATAGGAGGGTTGCTTAGGGGCTTTGAGTTCGTACTGATTGAAACACTCGTGCCCCACCCAGCTGGATGTTGCTTGAAACAGAAAAGCACTCGCCTGCTGCACCAGCACCGAGCTTGAATCTAGACCTTCGATCCACCTGGGTACCCGCAAAAAATCGGCAAGGAAGGTTTTTTGGCTCGGAGTCGAAGGCGGGGAGTTTCTGCGTCACTTGGCCTTGGGGCGCGATTTGGGGGCACAATCGAGAGCCCCACGAAGCCCAACCTGAACTGTCCACCTGCACAACCCCAAACCCTTTCCGCCTGACCACAAGTCCCGGACGATAACAAAAAATACCCAACACGCTTACAACTGCCTTCAAACTTCCCAGAAAAGCATAACTACTGAGTTCGAATGGCACGGACACAGCGCGCAGCCGCACAATTGAAGAGAACTGCCAAGGCGCGAGACGCTCCCTCCCTTCGCTGAAGCTGTCCAATCTGTCTGCTGCGGCTGCGGCCTTCTCCAAGCACGGGCAAATCATAGTGCACTGGGGCTTTCATGACTGGTTGCCACATTGCATGGCTGCCACGATAATCGCGGCACTGCTCAGAGAGGAAGATCTGCATGAGGGAGTGGGAGAATGAGGGGGGGGGGTGGGTGGGGGGGGGGATGGGGGGCTCAGAATNNTGGGGGTAAAAAGGCTACATTATGCGGGCATTGTAAAGGGAGCTGTCTGGTTCAGCATAGGCCCTGCCCCCTTCGCTTTTTGGTCCCGACTTCGCGAAGCAGGCAGCGCAGGGTCTTCGCCGCGCGTCTGTAGTCGTCATACGGCTGGGAGTAGGTTGTTGAGGCTGTCCGTTTGGGGCTGAGATGGGCTGAGGGTTTTGGAGATTGACGCTCATTCAGCATTGTTGAGGCTGTCTGTTGGATTTGGCAACGGATGTGACCTAGTTGAGGACTCAAGGTCCTGCGACTAACGGTACGAACAGTTGCCAGCAAGCTAACAGAATAAGTGGTCCTCTGCCGGGCTAACGCATGCTGATGGAAACCCCTCTCCTTGTGCCAAGTGTCTGCCCTCACACTCTAACCCTAAACCCTGCAGAGCCTATAGAGCCTACAGTCCAAGCTCTACATCCAGGCCCCACAATTGCTCGAAGTTAACATGCACACGGTGTACTCAGGACAGAGTGCCAGATGACCAAGATCTTGAAAGAAGTCCGAGGNNCCTAAACCCTAAACCCTACAGAGCCTAAAGGCCTAAAGTCCAACCTCTACATCCAGGCCTCACAGTCTCCCGAAGTAGCGAGAGCACGGCGTGAAAGTCACTCACGGTAGAGTTCCAGGTTACCAAGATCTTGAAAGAAGTCCGAGGGACTTCCGAGAAGAGCCGTCAACATATCCCAATGCTGCATGCAGCTCCCTTCAGAGGCACATGCTTGTTAGCCTTTGCAGTACACAAATATTCGACACTATGTGCAAATTCACGGTTCTGTGCCAGCTGCAGGTGAGCGCGGGAATAGAAGGAGTCTGCGACAGTTCTAGTGATAGTGCCCGAGGTTCATCTTGACCTATAGCATCCCACTCAGTAGCGGTTGCCGAGCTCCCGGTACACCTAAACAGTGCTTCAACCACCCTGTCCCCCTCCGACCTGCAAAGCAAGCTCAAGGCTTCCTACAGAAGCATTCATGCTAAGCCTGCAAAGAGCCTAGGGCTTCGGGTTCGCCCTACATCCTAACCGGGTATCAAGGGGCTGCGGTTTAGGGATTCAGGGCTTCCAGCTTTATCCGACCCGCCACTGAGGAGAGAGAGAAGGAGACTGCACGCTAGCCCCAGGCTCCAGGCGCGTAGGATGGCGCTTGGGGTTCATTTTTGGATTGGCTTCCAGCTATGCTAAACCTCAAAGTAGTTATGTGACAAGGGGATGGATATGACTCACGCCTAAACCGCACAAAGCTCAAACCCTAAGGTTCTCCGATTCCCCAACGCCTACCCACATGAACGCGGAGCCACAGATGTGGGAGCCATCAGGTATTGTACTTCTCTGGCTCGGAGAGACCTGAAAACTGGCGAGGAGCCAAAGTGGGCGAAGGCTCGACGCTGGCTTCAGGGTTTAAGGCAAAAGGCCCAGGGTTTAAGGCCACGGGCTTAAGGTATAGCGTTTTGAGCTAGGGTTGCCCGTCCACGCCCACCTAAACTCAATGGAAGCTTCTGGACAGTCCGCCACGCCCCAGCCGTGAGCAGCTGTACGACTCTCCAGGGTTCAGGGGTTTGGTGACATTTAGGGGTCTATAGGGTTTAGGGGTCAGGCTGCTTCTTCGGGCCTGCTCTTCTAGAAGAGGTTGGTCTTCTTCATGATGCGCAAGAACTCCTCCTGAAGACAGAGCGGCAATGCTTTGGGCCCCTGAGACTCCCAGACCCTTTGTTGAAGAAAGATGCCTGGCTTTGTTTGCGAAATTCCGAGCATGGTTTGATGTTGCTTGAATTGGGATCTCAGGCCAGGGGGCGGTGCTGGCCAGCATCACGCACATTCCAGAAATGAGACGGAAACCCTTCAAGCCGCACCATGAGAAACCGAGCTTCGAACCCTGGTACTGACATCCCCAAACCCTTTGAGCCCTGTCATCTTAGACCCCAAGGTCCTGAACCCAAAACCCGACAGTCCGAAGCCTCGTTGACCTCGCCGTCGCCATCGCGATCCGCCTCGTCGATCATCTCCTGTATACGTCTCAAAGGAGACTTGTAGATTCCAGGGCCTTTGGTTTACAAGGGGTTTAGACTTAGGCTTGGATTTCTCCCTGCTTTTCGACACACCGGGCCTGCAGCTCTTCATCGGTCATCCTCTCACCGAGCTCCTTCGCGCGGGTTTGTGCAGGTCAGGTGAGATGGGTTCACCCACAACTGGCAAGTTGGGTCTCTTCGGGTGAAAGCCTCCAAAGACCTTATACACCCATGTGGAGCTCGCTCTCTCTCTCTCTCTCTCTCTCTCTCTCTCTCTCTTTGTGAATTCCCAAGCCTTATAAACCCTTCTGGACTTCACTCAAGCGTCTCACTGCCAAGTCCTTGGCCACGCGCTTGAGGTTCTTGAAAGAGATCTTGCCAGTCTCGTCATCGTCGAAGAGGCGGAAAGCCTGGATCCGCGCTTTTTCGGGCCTGGGGTGCAATATTTCGGGCAACTAGGCAGTTAGATGAGGTTCTCGAGTGACGTCATATGCCAAAAAGGCACCACAACAACAATCATTTTGAATCCTGTAAATGGGTTTGAAGGAAGATAACGACACCTTGAATGCCCCATCTCTCTCTATGCGCATGAAAGAATCCTGAACTCAACCTCCAAGCCGCAAAGCCCATATCTTGAACCCTGAACCCATCTTCCCGAAAGCCTGAATCTCAGAGCTTGGCCCTAAAACAGGGGGTCTGAAGAATCGGTAACTGATATCCCCGCGTTTAATATTAAGACTCCCTGTAGGGTTTTGCAGTATGCAATAGTATGCCCCAAAAGCCTGTTCGAGTACCAAGGTCACTAACATACAACCCTAGAACACTTCGAGATCCTTACAGAACCCCTATCAAAACCTTATCATATATACCTCGAGTGAACTTGTTTTAAGCGATTCATGCCCATTCATACTCTTCCATGCGTGCCAAACCACCAAGGCTCTCCAACTCTGCTCTGGGATCCGAACAAGCATTGATCTCGGCAGTTAGGACTTTCGACTTTGGGTTTGGCTGATAAGGGGCCGCCCGAAAAAAAGCCTAAACTGGAGCTTAGGGCTCGGAGTCCCCTTCTGCAGGCCTTGAGGATCTCATCCTTCGGGTCGCGGTTCAGGATCTTGTGCGTCATCATCTTCAAGAACTCCTGGAGGTGGGTGGAGATGCATGGTTCCGCTTCAAAGTTGCTCTAAACACGGGCGAACCTTAAAAAGACCGGGTGCAGGGTGTCCGAGGTCTGAGCTTTATGGGGCTCAGCGTTTGGGAATCAGCTCTGCAAATAGCGCCTGTGCCTTCTCCGCTCGTGTCTCGAACGCTGGCGACAAGCGGCCGGATTTGCATTGACGTATGGGAGTTTCAGAAAAGTTTGAACCCCCCTAAACAGTAGGATCCTTACTGTCGGGACGAGTACCCATATCATCGAGTGAATTGTAGCAGCAGCGCTCCTCGTAGCCAATGGTTCCGCTTCCGTCATCGTCGACGTCGGAGATCATCTTCCTCGTAGGCAAAAGTAGCGGATGCCAACAAGAGACCCCGAAAGCCCAGAGATTCGACGTCAAAAAGCGTAGCTGCTCGGAGAGACCGCCGGTAGTGACAGAGGCCCTGGCTGGATCTCTTCCTGGCCAAAGGCATTGCAGGAGCTTTTGCGGTTTGACCCAGAGGTCCGGGCCACTATATAGATATATATATATATGTATATATATATGTATGTATGTATATATATATATGTGCACATACATACACACACAAATATTTATTTATTCATTTATAGATCTATATGTGTGTACAATGTAGTGGCCTTACTCAGTAGACCAGTGTTTCGGGTAATTCTGTCGCAGCTTTACATAGGGACCAAATGAGATACAGTTCTAAGTATTCGACCTCCATACCTTTCCATATGATACAAGAACATAGCCTGCCCTAAACCATAAGCTCCAAGATATACCCTGATCCGTGAACCCTGAAGCCTTTAGTCCATTCAAACCTCAACCCTCGCTGCTTGCCCTGCTCGACTAAAGTCTCCACTAAAGAAAAAAGCCTAAGAAGCCGACTGAAAGAAGCATGGGACTTCGTCTACCAAAAGCCCTGAGAAACTCATGAAAGAAACACGAAGCCCTACGGAGGCTGCTAGCATAGACGCCAAAGAGTTGGATATTGCTGATCGGCATCCCGGTATTCTGCACCGGCCAGTTTCAAGAACCTGCACAGAACCTTTAGAGAGCCCTATGCACATATACCTCTATGTATGTGTGTACATATATTTTTATGAACATATACACATATTACATATATATATATATACACACATATGACATACATATAATATGTGTGTATATACATACATACATACATACATACATACATACATACAGACAGACAGACAGACAGACAGACAGACAGACAGACACACACACACATATATATATATACAAACATATATTACATACATGTGTGTATATGTATGTATGTATGTATGTATGTATGTATGTATGTATATATATATATGTATATATATATCATGTAAACAGGACCTTGCATAAAAAAAGTGCCTTCTTGGGCTCGAAGCCCAGGGCGCGCATGGCGACCTTCAGCTCCTTGGAATCGATCTCACCTGGCGCTTACGTCAGAGTTTAGGGTTTCAGGGCTTAGGGTTTAGGTTTCAGGTTTCAGGGTTTAGGGCTAGGTTGCAGGGTTCAGGGATCAGGGCCTAGGGTTATTTTGCGAGGTTCTTCACTCGGCAATTCAAGAAAGCCTCTTCCCTGGCTCCGACACTGAAGACGGCAAGCTCTTGCAGTTATCACGATTTCAGGTCGCACCTGGCCTGAGCCATCTGTGTCGAAGAGGTCGAAAGCCTTCGAAGCTTTGCGAAAACTGAGCCCAGGAATCCACCGTTACTCGTCATTCTGGGGCCACAGTCACAGGGGATGACGCCCCAAACTTCATCAAGATACACGGGCGCCAAAGCCAAGGAAAAACTGTGCCTCCTTGATCTCCTGCTTCTGCTCCTCAGTCAGCTCCTGTGGACTCACGGGGGGTTCAGAGCGGCGCTTCCTCCAGGGTGGCTCTTTGGGGGATTTTGGGTGAGAAGGCTAAAAAGGGTACCTTCGAAAGGGGAGAGGTCCCAACCTGGCTCCAGCGTATCAGGCTGCTATGCAGCGGACCCAGTCTTGGGCTTAGAATTTTTTCGCCCCATCCCTGAGATAAAAGGCCACAAGCTCTGCTTCATCGCCGCACCTTCTGCTTCTTGCCGCCAGCGTTGAAGCGACGGAGCCTGAGCGACACGCTCCGAGTTGGGTGCTGCCCTGTACATCAAGATCCTGTACTATAGCCGCCTTAGTAACTGAGTACTTCCAACAATGGTGTTTTGTACCATAATGATACAGCGGGGGGGCCATAAGGAACACTTCGAACTGTTCCGACGCCTCTATGATTCCAAACTTCCCACGGTGTTCAACTTCGTAGCTTGGGCCTCCCCTCAAAGCCACCAAGACAATGCGCCACACTAGAGCCCCAAAGCCCTGACTCCCAAGGAAATGTATCAAAACCGCTGCCTTTCTGAAAGCTCTGAAAGTCCCGGAGTGGGCTGTTTAGCAGCCTGCTGGATCTGGGAACTGCTACAGCTAAGGGGCAACCAGGCTACGGCTGTCTTGCCCTTTGAGTCTGGGTTTAAGCTCTGGGTTGGGGCTCCAAGGTTTAGAGTTTTAGGGCCTCTGAGCACCATCATGGCTGAGGGCTTCGGGTCCAGGGGAGGGCTTCAAGAAACCCCCAAAAGCAACCCAATCAACGCACGACCCCTAGACCGCTTAAACCCCTGAGCCCAACAGCACTGAAACACCCCGAAACACCCATCCGCCCTTTCAGAAGACGTCTTGGGGCTCTCACGCCATGGCTGGAAATCAGGCACGGAAAAGGCTGGGAGAATGCTTGCAGCTTGAGCGCTGCGGATGGATTTCAAGCACTCCGGGTTTAAGGCTTTAGGGCTTTAGGGCTTGAGGCCCTTAAGGCCTAGACCCGAACCTCCCTATTGAGTGTCTAAAGAAGCACCTTGTATTTACCTTTCCATGAACAGCCCTAGTGAAGGGCCGGTCGTTGAATTTAGGATTTGCATTGCATTTCCAATGGCCAAAACATGACCAAGCGCCGTTGTTGAATGCGTCTGCTGCTTGGAAAGTGAACTCAAACGGATATGTTTATGCTGTCTCGATTCTTGTGACCGCAACACCTGAAGCCCACTCACCTCTACATCCCTATGAAAGGCCTTGAGATCTTTAGAAAACACAACCTCAAGACACACCAGGAATAAAATGGCAAGAGCTCTAGACCTTCAGCCGCGAACTCCTTTCCCTCCGCCCGGAACCCGAACACCCAAACCCGAATTGGGCTCCAGCTCCCAAACCCCAAAACCCCCCCAAGACTCGCGAACAAAACCTTTGCGCACCTGCTGCTGGGCGGCTTCGCAGGCTCTGCCGGCCTCGACAAGGCGTGTCAGAGCAATTCGTAGCAAAATTCCGCTGGGTTCCAATTATATATATATATACACACATATACAAAAAGATATATATATATACACTTGTTCATTTATTTATAATTATGTATTTATGTATTTATATATTTATTTGTTTGTTTATTTATTTATTCCTTTCCTTATTTACTTATCTATTAATGTTTTATTCTGTATTTCGTTCATTTAGCTATTTATTCATTTCTGGAAGTATATAGTAGAGAAGCAGCCCCTAAACCTTAGTCAAAGTATGCCTGGAGAACCACTAGGGCTTCCTATGAGGCTTGCCACTTTCAGTATACCAGGGAACTCTGTGGAATAGCATTCCTCACTCTTTCGGTCTCCTGTTCTTAGAGCCACGGGGGGGGTTCTTAGAGGGCAGAAAAAATTCTTCGAGTAGGGTCCATGCAGGGTGTATTCTGTGGAGCTCTGGGCCATGGGCAAAAGGCGTTTAGGAGAGTTTCGAGTGGTAGAAAATGGCGCAATGCCTCCATTCCGATGCTCGACTAACCCTAAACTCTCAACCCTTTCATAATTAAGCGCGTTTGACACTGTAAGCACTATAACCGCAAGATTTCAACCCTATGACCATAAAGTTCCCACTACTTCTTGGAGGCTTCGCGCCTCAGCACCGAAGTGGGTGGCGGCCCTTTGGGTTGCCGTGGGCCTGTGAACAATTGCGAAAAAGCCAGGCAGGGTTCGGGGTATGGGGGTTTAAGGGGTTTCGGGTCTGCAAGAAGGTTGAAAGGAGGGAAACTCTGGGTGTCTCAAGCTCGGACGCGCTGCACAAAGCTGCAAGCCTGGAAGCGGCTTGGACTGCGTTCGCGGACCTGCAAAAGGCTGAAGCCCTACCACAACTCTAAGCCAACTCCGGCTGGAGCCAAAGATGTCTGCCCATTGGCTATGGTCGGGCTCATCTCGCAACCCCGAATCGCGAGGCCTTGCGCCACACTCGGAGGTGCCTGACACAGCGTGCAGGGGGTACCGAGACTGCCAGCCTCCCTGGGATCTCAAGAGCCTGTCGGGGTTTCGGAGTGAAGGCGCGGTGATCTGAGTGAAGAGAACGCCACAGCTTGTCGCTGGAACACGGAGGGAGGATCCCGAGGTGTCGAAGTTCCCCAGCCGGGCCCCAGCCTCCCTCGGGGGCCGCGGCCCGTCATCATAGCCATTGGCCTTCAGCGGCAGCCGTAATTACTGTGATTGGTTGGATAGCTGGATTGTGGTTTACACCGGAAAAGCCGACACACTAGCCTAGTTGTCAGGGCCCTGTACTGCAGATATGCAGGAGCTCCATGATGATATCAACGCAGCAATGCGACGTCGGAAAAAAGGATCAGTGCAGTCCGACGTCCAAGAATGCCAGAAACTCGCTGTAGCTTTTCGAGAGCTGTGTGAAGGCCAATTTGTCACAAGTGTCACAAGAGCCCGCAAAGCTTGACCCAAAACTTTGATCCAGCTTCGCCTTCTTGCCGCCTCCCGCGGATACCTTTGGCTTCGGCCTTCGGCATGGGAGGGCACTAGGAGTCTCAGATGCAAGGCTTGTCGCGGCCTCGTATTCGAGGAAGAGGCAAATTAGCATGTGAAGCACTCCCGTCTCCCCAAATATTGCATGCTGACACGTGGATTTTGCTGGCTGGAGAAAGTGGAGGCGAGACATCAACAGCCGAGTCTACACTGCAACCACCTTGGGCCCGAGCAAATTGGGATAAAACAACGCAATACCACAAGTCCTGACATGCCCGAATCTGCGCCTGGCCGGTGTGAAGCTCTTCCCAGCACCTTTGCAAGCGGGATTTGGAGGATTCGCTGGGATCCCGGTCCCGCGGCTTTGCCAAGCCCCTTGAAACCCAAAGCCCGAAATCAAAATAACCCTGGTTCTGCGACCATGTTGAATCCATCCCTGCAGGGCCCCGCACTCAGGGGCTTGTAGACCGACTTCGGCCTGCCAAGGAGCGGGTTTAGGGCTTTCCCCGAAGCCTAGGCGCAAGAGCCCTAAACTCTAAACCCTAAATCCTACACCTAAACCCTCTAGCCTAACCCCTAAAGCCCTAACAAAAGCCCCTCATCATCATGGCATCGGCGAAGCTTTCTCTCAGGCTCGGACTTGGGGGCTGACACCATGGCCTCGGTTTTGTCAGTGACCCAGAACCCGTCGTACTTTCTTTGTTTCGTTTAGGGTTTAGGGTTTAGGGGTGTTTAACCTCCTTCTACTAGCTTGAAATCGCCGTTCAGGGCTTCGGAAGTTTAGAATATAGACCATCCCTGAGATCTTGGGGCTTTTTGGCGGCGTCTATGGAGGTTCATGGCTCTTGCAAGGGCTTTATAACACCTGCAGCTCCAATATTCAACACCCCTACTGCAGTTTGCGCAAGACTCCTCCATAAAGATGGATGTTGCTCGCGGGCAAGCGAGGGTCGGTGCGCTTACCTGGCCTCGGGATCCTGAAAGACACCACGAACTTCACTTTGAGAGGGTTCTACTTTATAGCTACAGGAAAGGAGCTTGCGGCGAGCATCCCAAAACAAACGCCCCAAAGAATACACTCACCAGACCCTTCAACACAAACTTTCTTGTCGTTGAGGAACCACGGGCCAGAAAGCAATCAATACAGTATGTGTGCATATATATATATATACATACATACATACATACATACATACATACATACATGTATATATATATATACTCATGTATCTATATATTTATTTATTTATTTA